GTCCGTTCAGGGGGGGAGGGGCGCGGCTTGGGCCGGGTGGGCTATAAAGAGGAGCGGTTAGTGCGGTGCGGGGTGCGGGTTGGCGGGTCGGCCGGGTGGAACCATGGCATTGGTGTGCGTCGTGTCGGACGCTGGTGTGCAGAGCGACGGAGCGCGAAGGCGAGAGGAGGGAGCGGACGGGGGTCATGTATTACATATACATATACATATGTAAAATCACGGTGCATATCGCGTGTGATAAAAAACTTTATTTACAACCAGGGAGAACCCGGCCCCTGACATGGCGATGCTCAGCGCTGGTGCCAGCGCTGGTGCCAGCGCTGAGCTGCCAGCAGCAGCAACGCAAAGTTAAAAACTCGTTTATTGCCACTCTTTATTGCTCTTGCCCGAGTCGATGTGCGCCATTCACTCGCCCCGCATGCAAATTTTTTCCGATTTTTTAATCAAATATCTCACACACGTCTTCCGCCTCCATCCAAATGGTTCAACACGTATTACACGTGTTAGTCGACCAACCCCACGGCATCCACGCCCTTCCTTGCTTGCTCCTGCGTCCCGCTCCCCTGCCTATCGCCTCCCTCCAGCCCCGCCCTCCCCCGCCCACCTCCCCAGTCCCGATGGCCGACCCGACCCCCTCCCCAATTCCAGATCCGCACGCACCTGCATCTGCGGGGAAGCCTCTATCCGACGCCGCACCCGCGGACGCCGCACCCGCGTCTGCGGGGAAGCCTCCAGCTGACGCCACGCCGGCCAACGCAGCACGCGCCGACGCCACACCCACAAACCCCACACCCGCCGATGTCGCGCCGTCGCCGTCGCCGTCGCCGCCGCCTCCCGCGCTGACGCCGGAGCAGAAGGCGCGCCAGGTCCTGGAGGGCCACTCTGTGCGCGTGTTCCGGCCGTCGGCGACGCGGTTCGACGCGCGCCAGGTCGAGCTGCCGGACGACTTCTACCAGCCGTCTGCAGACGAGCTGCGGCACGCGGCCCAGTCCATCTCGGCCGACGTGAACCGCCTGACGAACGGCACCATGATGACGCGCAAAATGCGCGACGCCCACGCGGCCAAGCGCATGAGCCGCTTCCGTAAGGTCCTCATCCGCCTCCTGTTCCCCGACCGCATGGCCATCCAGGGCATCTTCACCCCGCAGAGCACCGTCCGCAACGTGCAGCGCTTCGTCCGCGCCGCACTGCTGGACGCACGAAATACTAAGTTTCATATGTTCGTCGTCCCCCCGAAGATGAAGCTCACCAAGCTCGACGATACGCTCTGGAGCCAGGGCTTCGTGCCGGCCGCGCTTATCCATGTTGCCATCGATGAGGGCCCCACGGATACGGGTCTTTTGTTGAAAAAGTGGCTGCTCGACAAGGTTGAGGATACCCCGGAATCCATCGCGCCTGTGCTCCCGCCAAAACCTCAGGTGCTTCCGGAGGAGAAGCCGGTTTCCACAACCCCACCGAAGAAGGAAGGCGTCAAGAGAAAGATACCCAAGTGGCTCAAGACAAAGAAATGACGACACCGCACTTCTTTTTTTGCCGGCCGCGACGGGGGGAAGCGCATGAACCCGAGCCATTTGTTTATAGTTAACACCGGGCACACGCGAAGACGACTGTCGCCTCCGCCAATTTTCCCAACTCCCCCCGATCTCCGCTTTGGCTCTGTACCTACAACTTGCCTTCCGCTTTTGCTTTTGTGCCCCCATCCTCAAAGCGCCGTTTCCAAATTGGGAGGCGTGGCGCACCCATTCCTCAACAAGCAAACGCGAATTGACTCGACGGAATTAACAATTGCAGCCGCCTCTCCATTCTTGTCCGTATAAAACTTGTTTCCGTAATTGGCACTGAGATTGCTCCAAAACCTGGGCGGAAGCAGCTTATCCACGTTCTTCCCCACGTTAAACTTGAGCAGCTGCGAGCCGCCGAAGTAATCCGCCACCATGACGACCGTGTCATCATCCACGCCCCAGTAGTCGCGGATGGCAAGCCCCGGCGTCTGCGGGAAGCGCTGCGTGAGCACGCGCACCTTGAACCCCGTGCGCTTCTCCAGGTCCGACACCCGGTCGCGCAGGCGCCGTACCTCTCCAGTCGCCAGGAAACGCTCCAGGTCTATCACCGGTGTCTGCTCGGACGGCAGCAGCTCGGGACGGTTCACTCCCTCCCGTGCCGACGCGCGGCGTGGCAAAGCTAGGCTGGATAGCGCCACGAGCAGAGCGCCGAACTGCCGCCGCGAGACGGGTGGCGGGGGAGATGGAGGCCGCGACTGACACATGCGCGGAGAACGGGATTGGGGATATGGGCGTACGGAGGCCGTCAGGACGAATGCAGTTGTTGCAGACATGATGCGATGTTTCGCTCGGATGCCGAGGGGCTCTGCTGGTTGCGTTTTTGGGGAGGTGCTCTTTCTGTTGCGGTCTTGACGAGGAGAATTCGTTTAAGAAGCAGTAGAAGGTGTGGGTGCAGCCGCGTTGGGGAGGTGCTCTTTCTGTTGCGGTCTGGACGAGGAGGAATTCGTTGAAGAAGAGGCATTCACCGGAATCTCACATTCCCGGAGATCCTGGGCAAGCGTTCCGCACAATCGCGATGCCACACCGGAATCGCGACTTGCCCGCATCACCGGATTCGCGCTCCGCCACGTGTAAATCCAGTCTGGCTATGCCACGTTGCCATGTTGCTGGTTGCCAGCAACTGGCACCAGGAAGAAATCCTCAGCAATCAATCTAGTCACCCTACCACTTCTCTGTACAACCCCTACTCAATCCCCGCCCCCGATCCACTCCAACCTTCTCCCTCCCACCCCTCCCCCTCCTATCCACCCCTCACCATGTCGAGCCTGCTCCCCTCCCTCCGCGCCGCGACGCTCGCCCGCGGTACCCACCGCTCCATCCTGCGCGCGTCGAACGCCGTGCGGCATCTCAACCTGCACGAGTACCAGTCGCAGGAGCTGATGCGCGGTGCGGGCATCGCCGTCCCGCGCGGCTTTGACGTCGACTCCCGCGCAGCCGCGCTGGCGGCCGCGGAGGAGATCGCCTCCACGGGCGCCGACATCGTCGTCAAGGCCCAGGTGCTCGCGGGCGGCCGCGGCCTCGGCGCCTTCAAGAACGGCTTCAAGGGCGGCGTGCACATGTGCTACACCCCGCAGAACGCCGCAGACACCGCTGAGAAGATGATCGGGCAGCACTTGGTCACCAAGCAGACCGGCGCGGATGGCCGCCTCTGCTCGAAGGCCCTCGTCACGGAGAGGCTGTATTTGAGAAGGGAAATGTACTTCGCCATTTTGTACGACAGGGAGAGCCAGGGGCCCGTCATTGTCGCTAGTCGCGTGGGGGGGACTTCGATTGAGGATATTGCTGCCGCGGATCCTACCGCTATCACCAAGGTCCCGGTCGACATCCGGGCGGGGTTGAGCAAGGAGGACGCCCAGACTTGTGCCAAGGCGCTTGGGTTTGAGGGGGGAGAGGGATTGGAGAAGGCCGTTGGCCAAGTGGAAAAGTTGTACGAGATGTTTATTGAGAAGGATGCCACTTTGCTGGAGATTAATCCGCTCGCGGAGACTAGTGACGGCGACGTCGTTTGCATTGACGCCAAGATTAACTTTGACGACAACGCCGAGTTTAGACATGCCGACATCTTCGAGAAGAGAGATACTAGCCAAGAAGATCCGCGTGAAGTCCGTGCTTCGAAGTTCGATCTCAACTACATTGGCTTGGATGGTAATATCGGATGTCTCGTCAACGGCGCGGGGCTGGCTATGGCCACTATGGATATAATTAAGCTGCACGGAGGTGAGCCTGCTAATTTCCTTGATGTTGGTGGGAGCGCCACGGAGGAACAAGTAATGGAGGCCTTCACAATTTTGAACGACGATCCCAACGTCGAGGCCATCCTCGTCAATATTTTTGGTGGCATCATGCGGTGCGACGTCATCGCTCAGGGCATTATCAGCGCTGCTAACAAGCTTGACATGCGCGTCCCTGTCATTGTCAGGCTGCAAGGGAACAAAGTAGATGAAGCAAAAGACCTTATCCGTAACAGTGGGCTCAAGCTCGTCGCTTCCGATGATCTCGACCAGGCCGCTAAGAAGGCATGCAAGCTGGCGGAAATCGTCAAACTGGCCAACGCCGCCGACGTCAAGGTTAGCTTCTCATCATAAACTACATACGCTAACTATACTTATGTGACATTGTGCCCTTGCCGTCCCATGTATGTCTGTTAGCGCTTATTACGGGTCGATGTCGGGTTGGGATATGCTGCGCCTAAAGCTGAACCCAAAGTAATTGCTGCTCGCCTTCTCCCGTTTGCGCTGCTGTGAGCGCTTCTTGTCTGACTTGTCTAACTTCTTCTCAGGGTCCGATGAAAGTGTAGAGTGAGGCGGCGGAGTCCTGGGATTGTCATTTAGGGTCCTAGCGACTCTTGGAGTGAGCTTAACCGACTGCAGTGAATCACCTTCCTCACTCAAGGGCGCGATAAACTTCACGGTTGCCTTTTTCTTCTCTAAACAGCTACGAATTTTGCGCACCTCTTCATAGTTGCCGCTCATCATGTTCTGCAACTGCTCCTCATTGCAAGGAGCTCGCAGTGCCGGAAGATCATCAAACTTGTTCCCATTAGCTCTTGGGGTGAACTTTGTTGGTGATGGGGGTATGTAGCTCCCGAGAAAATCCATTCCTGTGTGCAACACGGCAGCTGTTGTTTATGGTTTGTTGTAAGCAAGCGAGAAGATGAAAACTGAGGCGCGGAGGGGAGGGGAAGCGAAGGAGGAGAGAAGTTTGAAGCGGTTCGGTGTTTAGCCTTTAGTTGCCGAGGGGACGATTTAACAGATATGAAAAGGATAAAGCTTGACGTTGAGAGGCAAAGCAGATTCACGAATTTGTATCTTCGGACTGATTTTCGGAGGGGTTGCGTGATGGCGGGTGCGGTTGATTGAGGTGATAACTGCTGTGCGTTGTTAAAGGGCGTACAAATGCAAAATGATGCACGCGAATTCAAGGGTAAGGATTTCCTTTTTCGGGAGCAAGCCATTTTGCTCGTGCCCACGACCCTTAGACAACAACACAAACTACTTTATGAGATACATCTTTAGTTCGGGCCATGTTTCTCGTTTGTGTGCTTATAGTCACGCTTGTACATGACGTTGATAAAAGTGACGCTCGAGCACATTTTTTTTTCCTACTTTGAAAGTCGGCTGAAGGCTGTGTACTGTACAACGGGTTGCCTATAGTTTAGATACCTTTGCATAAGAAGTGCGATCGCTGCTATTACCTTCTGCCAGCGATTAGAGAAGTGGTGGTAATATCTACAAGATGAGGCAGGGGAAGGATGCGGACCTTGCGTTGTTTACAGCATCACGTGATGTGAAGCTTGTGAGCCTAAAAGACTGAGAAAGCCGGAAGCACGGCCGTGCAGGCGAGCGGGACATGGCCCAGCGATGCACAGACGTGGAAGGCGGCCACGTCATAAGAAACATGAACACTGTCCACGGCGCCATGTGCATTGTCGAGGAGCCGTCGGAGAGTGCTCCTTGCAAGCAATTACATGCACGGGAAAACATTTGCGGAAGGAAGTGTATAAATAAATAAGAAATCGCAAAGTTTTCAATTCGGCACAATTTTGCGTCTGAGAAACGATGCCTTGCTCAACAAAAGCAAAAAGCGTAAAATGGAGCAACGCAGAGCTCATTTTCGAACACACAGTCCACCGCGCCTCGCCAGCAGCGTTCAGCCACATCACACACATACCGACGCGGCACGCCTCCTCGCATTCTTCCATCTCCAACCCCATCAACTCATTCCTCCTCCCCCCCCCCCCCCCCCCCCCCCCCCCTTTCAATCGAATTTCCACTTCTTCATGTCTTTCTAGGCTCCCACCCAACGGCGACACAAGCCCATATCAGTCGCCCCCTCCGCCTCCCCCTTTGCACCGCCTCCCCCACCTTATCATTTCTCCTTCTGGTCTGCCGCCAGCACCTCTTTCACATACCATGACCTCTGTTGCCAACCAACAACAGCAGCAACCACAACAAGACGATGTAAATGCTACCGCCGTGGGCACCGAGCCTCCCACCAAGAAGAGGCGGGGTGGCCGCCGCACTTCTAACCCCGAAATTTCCGCAGAGGAAAGGAAGCGCCTCAGGATCCTCAAGAATCGCGAGAGTGCCATGCGCAGTCTTGCAAAAAAGGCAGAGTATTCCGCAAGGCTCGAAGAGCTGGAGAAGCGAGCCATTCAGGACTACAGCTCCACCCGCGATTCCCTTGAGCAAGTCATCGCTACCGCCATCGCACTTAAAGCCGACCTCGACAAGGCCTCACAAACAAACACCGATCTCATCGCTAGAGCAGACACCTGCATCAATAGTGCGACGGAGGCTCTCGCTGACGATACCGATCAATTGCTCATATCCACGGCCCGTCCAGCGACCATGGCAGCAACCACAGAGCCGGGTATTCGACCAGAAGCACAAGCGGAAGGCCCGTTGATCCCAAATGCAGAATCCGCCCACAGAATCCCCACTTCTTCCGCCACAGAGACACCGTCTGCAATTGCCGCTCCTGAAGCTCAATCAGCAATCGAATCCGACCTCATCATGAGCAGCCCCAATACCTCGAACGCCATATCAGCTTCGTCGCCAGCTACCGCAGCTACACATCTCGCCGGACCAGTAGCAATATCTATGCCACCTCATCCAGAAGTACACCCTGGGACTGCTGATGAGGAAGCTGGGAGCAAGTGACTGCCTGACGTGACGTCTTCGGCCAACCATGTGTCTCCTAACCATTTTGTTGCAAGGGAATGCGACGGAGGAACCACCGACTGCCCACTAGATGTACATATTATAAAAAGTGACGACGCTATCATCCTTCATGTAATACAAAGAGACTGCCGAACACAAACTGCAAGAAGCGTCGCGACATCAGCGGGTCGAGATGACTGCGCTCGCGGGGATATATTTACAGTTTTGGACTTTCGTACCCTCTTGGGTTCATGTTACAATTTTAAGTCGGAAACCCACAGCCTTGCCGAGAACCGCCATCGAGGTGTTAAACCTGCCCTAACATTTTTCCACCATCGAGTAAAGCAAAATTTTGAAAGTTCAGCCATGTGCCTGGTCGTCGTGAGGAGTGGCCTCGGCGTTTGGAGTTCATCCGCAAAGCAGTGTACGGATTTATCGCATCATCCGCATGGGCGCAGTGCGATACGATGTACACGTATTCAGTCACTGCATCGGACTTAGTGGCTGCGCATGTGGGTGTTGACAGAACATAGAGAGTGGACTAGGTCAGCGAATGTTTTTGCATTCATCGATATTGTAATCTCTTCGTGACATAGCCGATATACTCCGGAAGTCATCCAGGATAAAGGTCTGAGAATGTAGATATTTTGGTAGTCAATGAGGATTATCTCCACTGGATACATATTCCGCATGAAAACCATACAGAGGTATCCTCGGACAAATGCCCAATGTTCGTCCTTCCCATCATGGATGACGTATCCTAAAGAATGGAGGACGTACCTGAAGCGCTTGCAAAAGTGTCTTACTCCAACTCGGCTGTCGGTGCCCCAAGTATGACCGTATCTCAAGCTCAGTCGACCTGGGCCTTGTCAACGAGACGAACCGGCATTATAATCTATTACCGGGATTAAAATGAAGGAAGCAAAAGAACAGGTGAACAGAGATGTCAGTTTCCTATTTCACGTATCAGGCTTGATCATGCGGAACGCTATGCTCATCTTGAGTAATTGTTGGCCAACACTATCGTCGAGTTGATAAAGTCTTCTCTGCACGCACGAGGTTAACAAGAACTGTAACCTCGAAATTTGCACTAAAGCTCGTCATCTAATATAAAAACTTTGAAATCATCATCCGATGTGATGCCAAAAAAGTTCTGAAATGTTTTCGTCTTACCATGTATTCCGTCTCCGACGTGATTTTGCTATCCAGCAATTGTTCAGGTCGGGTCCATTCCATGAAGGTGAGACGAGATAACGGCAGAGTCTGTCTGCATGGCATGTGTATGGAAGAGAATTGGTCAGATATATTGAGGTGAAGACTTAATTTGGATCATTGGTCCTTTCCTCAGGCCTATCATATCAGTCCGCAGGGTCCAGGTCCACGCTGTGATTTTTGTCGGCACAGCGCTCGAGAGGACCGAAGACTCGGACGTTAAGGTGGTCATCCTCGGAAGCTCGTGTAACAGTGAGACTAAATGAAACTTACCGTCATGTAGTGTAGACGAATGATCCCGGATATCAATGGGAAGATGAGCAACCGTGTCAACCATGTGTGCGACGCCCTCCATATTAATCTCCTACATTCGCAATGGCTGGCATTGCGGTGCTCCAAGATTGATCTGCAGGAGAGCGACTGGGATACCCGCCCAACCAACCCCCAATGCGCGATTTGTGTGCCTTTTTATACCCAAAGAAGCCGACGACGGAAGCCATTGAATGGGAAGCGTAGAAACTTGTGCCCTAAAACATTTTTACTAAATTATTTGTTTCTGCCCAGGGTTTACTGTACATAGCGTGGTCGGAACAAAAAGCCACACGTGTAAGAGCCCTCCCGCACAGATCAACATCCTTTTCACCCACCGCCGTCCCTGCTCCACAGCTGTGAAAAACTTTTGGGATGCCAAGGCTGGGAGTAGCGATTGAGTCACTCCATTGAGCAAGCGACGTCGACGGGGAAGTGTGAGAAGCAGCCTTTCGTTTAACGCTTTCGCTCGTTAGGGAGGACAAATGCGCAAGTTGAAACATCACGAGTACCGGCTTCTTCGGAAGGCAGATTTTCTGCAATGGAAAAAAGAACGCGACCTGCGCGAGGTCAAAGTCGCCAGACGCTATCACTTGCGAGACACAGAAGAGTACCACCAGTACACCAAAATTGTCGGCGAGGTAAAGCATCTATGTCACAAGCTAGAGCAGCTGCCGGTAGATGACAAAGTCCGCACTCAACGCACAGAGGACCTTCTCAACAAGCTGTACGACATGGGGGTCATCTCCATGAAGACAAATCTTGAAGCATGCGCTAAGATTACCGTCAGTGCCATATGTAGGCGGAGACTACCTGTCGTCATGATGAGACTCAAATTTGCAGAGAACCTCACGGAGGCCACTACCTTAATTGAGCAAGGTCATGTGCGCGTTGGACCCACACCAGTGAAAGACCCAGCTATGCTCGTCACAAGATCCATGGAAGACTTCATTACATGGGTCGATTCGAGCAAAATCAAACGCAAGGTTGCTCAGTTTAACGATGAAGTTGACGATTTCGACCTCCTCAATGCTTAACGGGGTTTCGCATGTCCTCGTCTCATTATTATTATTATTCCGTCAAGTCTTGGAAAGCTGAACTCCAGGAATGCGAAGGGTGGTGTTGGTACGTACAGGGTGGGCGTGGTGTGCATGAAGGCACATTTGTGTGGAGTTATGCGGTGTTGCTTGTGACTACTCCTTTCGTATGGGGCAATCGACGCATCAAGGATTAGATGCTTTTTCATTAGGTGGAGCGGCCGGTTTGCTTTCCGCTTGTTAGGAACTTGCAAGCGTCAGGTTTTGAGCGCCACTGCCCGCATTGAGCGAGGGACTTTCATGTTAGTGCCATCAGACTGAGATGATTTGTGTCGCAACAAAAGCACTCACACACATTTGTTTCAACAGAAGTTTCACTGAAATAACAGTGCAACACTTAGACGAAAAAGTTCTGTATCAGACTAGGAGATATGGATTTAGAAGAATTGAGTGGCAGAACCGTATCTCGCCTGGTTCGGTTTCCACTCAACACTTTTCTTCACCTGAGTTGTTCAAGTTTATGAGACTGTTTTAAACGACAGGTTGCTATGCGTCTAGGGCGTGCGAGGTTCTGGTTTCTCTATATTCTCTGGGTCACTGCACTTGCAGTACATTGTTTGTAAAGCCAGCTTCATCTTGTTTTTGGGGAAGGTCATCAGCTACAGTCCACTCTTGGTTCACCTTGAACTTGCACACGTATTCACCCGGGCGCAGGAGGAGCTTCAGGCCGAACGCGCCATGATCACCGACAGCTTGGCTGAGCGGCCATTCGGCCGTCCAGTTGTCAAACGAACCTTTCAGTACAACAGAGTTTCCGCTCCCCGTCCACTGAATAAGGACCGGGTTTGCGGAACGGTCGTAGAGGTCAGTCTCTTCGTCAACTGTTGACGATATAATACTTGCGACTACATCGCCTCGTGTGTACATCGCGTTCCTAATGCGATGGAATTCGCTCGACCACGCCCAAGCAACCTGGGACACATCAATTGTTGTTTCCGCCGCTGCAACTCGCATTTCCTCATACTCGTGTGGTTGAGCAAACACGCGAAGGGCACGTTTCACCGCCCACACAAAGTCAGCATGGGAATATTCTTCAAATGTGAAGCCATTCCCTTCGCCTTGTGAACTCTTCCACTCATGGACGGTGTCTTTTAATCCTCCCGTTTTGTACGCTATTACAGGAGTGCCTGCGACAAAGAATTCTTGCTGCAGATACGTGGCAAGGTTTAAAAAGGAATGGAAAAGAGAAAAGAAAAGCTCGTCAGCAATTTGTCACTTACGTCGAAGTTGCTCCAGTTAAAGAAAGCGAAAACCGTGTACTTACCTGCACAATTCCACCAGGTTCAAACAACGACGGCATGAGTCCGAAATCTGCCCCCAGATTACACATCGGTCCATCTGTGAAGAACTCATCTGGCTGGGCCCAGAAGCACCACGGATGACGCCGTCGCAGGTCGACCATGTGTCGCGCACAGCCTGATGAATATTCATCGGAGTAGTTAGCAGGCCCTCCGACAAGAATTTGGATCTTGCCATTCGTGTGACCGATGAGTTCGTCAACCGCGTTTAAAATCAAGTGGACACCCTTTTGTGAGGTGATCCTTCCGACAAAGGCAAATAAAGGGATTGTGGGATCTCCTTTCTGAAACCCAAAGTATCGCTTCTGCAAAATCTCCTTTGCAGCAGCATGACTCTCCGCACCCTTAACACGGAGTGCTTCCTCCCGTTCGGCCTTGCGAATGCCGTTCGGATATGCGAATGGAGACTTGGCCTGTTGCAGGAGGTCGCTCAGAGGGTGACCAGCCCTCAATTCCCGCAAATAGCTTGGGCTTACTGTACCCCAGCTTTCGCTCCTCATAATGGCGCATCTCGAGGGGTTAACGACGAGAGTGCTCCACCAGGGGTTGACCATTACATGGGTTGGGAGGCGATGTATATGATCGAGTGTACCTTCTCCGGGGTTGGGATACACTCGGCCTTCGTACGCCCCTTCCCCTAGATTGTGGATGAGATGGAAAAATGACGTGTTCTTGAAGTAGTCCCCAAAGAAGTCGCGGTAGCCAGCGGCCATACTGGGTAGCCAGTCGTTTGTTACGATAACTGAGGGGTATAGTTGCTTTTGGCAACAAACCTCCAAGGAACCGAGAGACATGAGGACAACGGTTTGCAGGTGCCTGACCGACCCTCCCGGGTCCGCATATACTTTTGGAAAGAAGTCGCCACGCTCTAAGAAAATCAGATTCACGTCGTTTTCCACTCCTTCGAATACCCCAGCTTCGACAATATGTGTACCAATATTCACAGATATGTTCCGTGTCCACTGGATGTTATCTCCCAAGTATCCACTTCGATTCTTACGGTTAACGGTGTAGTAAGGCGACACAACGTATACTTCCAGTCCAAGACCGGCCAGCCCCTTTGTCAGCTCGTCCACCATGACCCCGAGACCTCCAGCAGTAGAAAAGCGGCCAAGCTCAGCGGTCAGGAATACGAGAGGACCTAGCTTTGTGGTTTTGGCGACTACAGACCGCGCAAGGGTCATGAGGTCTGGATCCTTGGCACACGTCGACATATGAGTAAGGTACGCGACAATATGTTCCGCGGCAGGGGGCTCGAAGTCTTTCGGCCTCGGAACGCCTTCATAGGCGACCATGAACCGCAATTGGCTTGCTCGTTGCATGCACAACTGCATAATCCTCTCCATCTCAGCTTTTTCGCATCCCTCGTTTCTTAGACCATTACGAAGTGACTCCATGGCTCCAACGAAATCGCTCGCGGAAGCCGCAGCGCCCCGAGCAAGTCGCGCGATAATATCATTCTCGCGAGCGTCCTTGATGTCGTTGGCTTCTTGACTGCGGAGGCGGTTGATGCACTCGGAAAAGTGTGCTCCGCGGCGTTCCGGTGTGTCTTGCACTGGCTTGAAAGTGAGCAGACTGATGCCTAACGGATCCAGATGAGTCTTGTATTTTCTGAAAACCAACTCTTCCAGTGTTTGCACATCGGTGGAATGTTCTTTTCCGGTGAATGTATTTACTACAGAATAAAACGCACAAGGCGCCGCTCCTGTTGTGAAGGTGTCTGGAAGAACGTCCCAAAGAGTCTGGAAGTCGAGTTCCACATCGCAACCATTGCTGTATTGAGGTCCGTCCCTGTTGTCTTTGAAGTTAGCTGCAACGATAACCACTTGGTCTTCGGTGTAGCGAGCAAAAGCGAACACTTGTTCCTTGAGTTGAGGCTCAATCGTCAAGACGCACATGAATCCGCTGTGAAGAGCAGCAAGTTCTTGCCGCAGCATGCGCCTGTGAGAGTAATGTCCTTCGATTTGTGCAATATCGTACCCAGAGGCAGGTCCAATTTCCTGTCGCGTTTGCTCCTCCATAGCTGACATCTTGCGAAAGTCGGCCGCTGAAACGCTTCGAACAGACATGCCGTTCATGTCGTCGCGAGATCTTGAGCGTACCAAATTCGAGTTGGAGGGTACTCGGCGCAAGTCGGCTAGCGAGCCCTTGCGTTTCATCTTGAGCTTCCTCTCGACAGAGTGAGGGGGTGTGAGGGGTGGTAGTCCTTTGGGCTTGGAGGGCACTGCTCCCGTTGAGGGAGAAGTCGACGGCCTTCTTATACCGCGGGCACTCGGTCCTAAAGAAAGAGAAGCCGGCATGACTGCCTCGCCTGGACTTGTTTGTCCTGTTCTCAGCGGCGGTGATTTTGGTAGCACGGCATCGAAGTTGACGTCATATTCTGTCATTTCTTCGGTGTTGGAGACTCCGTTCATGTTCATTCTGTACGCACGGCCTCTCTCCTCTCCGTAAACCGTCATTGGTACTTCAGGAAGGAAGTTGAGAAGGTCCACCGCAATCCAAGATCGGCGTCCGTACAGCAGGCCTGGGTACGGTGACGAATGCGTGCAGGTGCAGTTTACCATGATGGCATTCTTCGGCAGCCAGTCGCTGTCGTTTCTATACAACCTGGACAAAGTGCGAGCAGTAGACCTGTTTTTACCAGGGACGCGACCGACGGTGCCATCTTTTCTCAGAGACTTGCCAGAAATGGATGCGAGAATCTGAGGGATTCGAACGGTGTGGACTACGGGGCCCGAGGTGAGCAGCTGAGCCTCGCGATGAAAATGGGCCTCGGCCATGACGATAAAATCCGGGAAAGCGTTCCACATCTCGCGACAAAACTTGACCAGAAACGGGTTGGGGTAGCCTCTTTCAATGCCTGCTGACGAGGTCCAATAGCCGTATTCTTCGTTTGCTTTCACGACAGCACCGTAAAAGACTTCACTCAACGAGTAGTGCGGTTCGCCATCGGGGTCGTGACGAAGTAGCTCATCCATGTTGGGGGCCATAATAGGCGGAAGTGATTGGGCGTTATCGAGGCGTATACCTCCCACGCCGTATTCCTCCGCCATGGCCTTGACCTCGGCTACCATGAGGTTCCATGTCTCGACGCGGCGATGATTCAAAAGAGCGGTGTCCTCCCATTGGTTTTCGCGACCATCGGTGCCGGGATGGCGCAGCGGAATGCCCTTATTGCTAAGAGTTTCGACGGTAAGGTGGCGGTACTTGCGGCTCATGCGGGTTCGGGAGACGCGGTCGATACCATCGATGATGGGGCACAGGCCCAAGCGCTTCATCTCGGCACAGAGGTTGCGGAAGGCGGACTTGCCGCCGAGGATGTTGGCCGGGATTTCACGGTCGGCGACGGAAAACGGGGAGGGGTTGGGGTCGTCGGATGGCCTTTCCAGGGCGCCCATCATGTAGACGCCCGTAAAGTTTTGGACCTTCAAGCCCGGAATGATGGTGAGGACAGACTCAAAGGTGCCGCGCGAGTTGAGGTCGCCCGTGGCGGCATCCCACTCTGCGCCGACCTCATCGATGGGGACTTCAATGAGGGAGGCCTCGCGCATGCCCGCGGGCTGGACAATGAAGCGGCCCCTCAAGCGGCGGGCGACGTCGGCCGGGTAGCCATCTAGGACGGCCGGGTGGGTCTCGCCGGACTCGGCAATGACCCAGTCATAGTAGCCAGCCCTCGGGAAGGGGGGGAGTTTGCGGCAGACCTTTCCCTCGCGCGTGACGCGGAGCGGGAAGTCGGTCCAGGCCGGGGCGGCCATGGGGTCGTCCTGCGGGCCGAAGAGCCTGAGGACGACGTCGGCGTCGACGAACGGGCGGGTGTCGACGTGGGCGTCGAGCGGGTGGAGGAAGATGGCGACGGTGGGGGTCTCGCCGACGGTGGCGACGGTGACGGGGAGGGCGTCGGCGGCCTGCAGGTCGTGCGCGTCATACAGGACGTTGAGGTCGACGACGGCCGCGTCGCGCACGCGGTCGCAGTGGTGGCCCAGCAGGGCGACGTAGACGGCCTCCAGCGCGGCCACGGTCTGCGGGCACGTGGTGTAGCCGCGGCGCTGGCACGTGCGCAGCTCGCGCCGCAGCTCGTCGATCACCTCGAGCGACTGGCGGTCGTTGTCCGTCGCCACGGTCTGGATCCACTTCTCCACGCGCTGGCGCAGGTCGTCCGGGAACGCCGCCAGCGACCGCAGGCCAGAGTCCGC